ACCAGCCACGCGCGCCAGCCACCGCCGCCGCCGCGCCGGAGCAGACGCAGCAGCAGCAGGAGCAGGAAGGCGCCCAGGACGGTCGGCAGCCCCCACCCGCCCGGCCCCGGGAAGTCGGGGAGGGCGATGGGACGGGGGGCCCGGGCCGCCCCGGCGGCGCCTCCCTCCCCACTTGGTCGCAGGCCGCGAGCTGTCGCCGCGCTTCGAAGAGCGGGCGTGGGAGGGGTGCGTGGGGTTTGCTGCGGTGTTGGGACAGCTCGCTGTGGGCCCTTCGGAGGAGAACAGCCCTCGGACCCCCGGGGACCCCTCCCCACACGCACGCACACTGCCCACCGTTACACATCCCACGCTTAACCTTCACGTGCACACAGCTCACACTCATGCCCTCATGCACACTCCCCGTTCCGGCGACACCCATGTGCCCTCGCACTCACGCCCCCACGCGCCGTCACACAGCGCCCGCTCACACGCGCACGATCACTCGCGCCCTGGAGGGTGCTGGCTGCTGTCCTGTCGAAGGAGGTTCTGGCTGGAGGAGTTCGGGGCCTGCCATGGTCGGTGGGGCCTACCCTCCTTGGAACTTGTGGGGAGCCCCGGGCACCCCACCCCAGGCCCTGCCTACGGGGGTGTCATGGCCCCGCCGAGGGCGGCTGCGGCGTGGGGCGGTGGGCTGGCTCCTGAGGCTCGTGTGCCCCCTCTGAACCGACGAGCGTGTGGCGGAAGCGCTGATGAGCGCGAGCGCGGCCGGGATTTATAGGGACAGACGATATTACCCCTCGGAGGACACTTAAGTAACTGGAGTTTACGTTCAGTAATCACTGGGCTGATTTATCGCGCGGCGGCGGCGAGGGGGCAGGCCCGGGCCGCGGGGCTGTGCGGGGCCGGGGCGCCCCGAGGCTGCTGCTCCTGCCGGCGACATCCACGGGGCTCCGTTTTCCTGGAGCACGTTTTCCCAGGAGCCCCGTTGTTTCCTAAGCGGGATCAGTCAGCCTGCATGATTTTAGCAGAAGGAAACTAACCTCGAGGCTCTAGTAAAAACGCCGGGCGTGCGGCCTCGGGCCGTGGCTCCACGTCGCGCGGACGGGTGCCTTTCCTGACCCCTCCTGGCGCCTGCTTGGGCCCCGCCGGTTCAAACTCACTCCCACGCCGGGTGTTTTTGGCGGTCCTCGGGCCGCTTAGCCCCTGGGCACTGTGTCCAGAGAGGCGGCATCCTGGACTCCTTCCCTCCCCACCACGCCGCTGTCCCTTTTGGGGGTCATCCGGGATCCCGGAAGACACTGATCAAAGGGCTGATCCCTGGGCCACTCCCGAAGGCCCATGTCCTGACCCACGTGCCCCGAAGTTCGTTTGTGACTTCCTCGGGCTCCCTCTCGGGGAGAGGGGACTGGTAGGAGCTGGAGTTGTCCGCAGGAGCTTTCGATACTGTCCCACAGGCACCATGTCTCTGAAACTGTCATAGTTAGATTCTGACGTGGCCCCTCTGTCAGAGGCCGAAACGTAAACACTGGGGTCTCTTGGCCTTTCTAGTCGGGTAGAACTTGCTCACTGCCTCCTTCGGCCTCCAGAGTGACACGGGCCATTCTGTCACCCTTTCCTTTTTTCTTCCACTCTCTCCTTCCACCTCTTCTTTATCCCTCGTTTTCTACCTTTCTTTCCACTCTCCATCTCCCTTCACTGGGTCTAATTGGTTCTCTTTCTCACGTGCAGTGGAGGAGCCAGCAATGTTCAAAGCATTTATTCTCCACAATCCGGGCTATGTAGGTTGTACAGAAGCATCAGAATTCTAAAAAACAGCACCGCACATTTGCATGGGGTGAATAGGTAAAGCCACTTAAGCCTCCATATTTGAAGAGCTGATCATGATGTTTTTAAAGGAATGCTATGTTAAATTAATATTATCTCCAACACAGACAAACCAGGACAAATCACTGATGTTCTGATAAAAAAGGGAGTAACTTTGTCTTTGTTGCAGCTCATCTACAGAGAATTTTTAAAGATTGTGCTTATCATTGTGAGTTCTGTGCTTTCCCTCTATTTATATAAATGTCTAATTTCGTTTTTGAACAATATTTCCAGGTAGGGGAAGTTATATTCCAGGCATCCGAATGAAGCAGCTATTGGTGAAATATTTTTTTAAAAAACCACTGAAATATTTTTATTTAAATAAGAATAAGAAAATTCACCACAGACATTTACAGACACTGAGTCTTAATAGTTTCTTTTCAAAAATAAATTATCCAAAACAAAGGAAAATGTGATATCTAGTGTGTCAACAGAGTAGCTGCCGATATGTGGAAAAATTTAACTTTATTTTTTAAATCATCTGAATATGAGGGTACTTCAAAAAGGTCACGGAAAGATTCGTATTATCTTTTACTTCTTTTTTTCCCACTAACTTTTTAAAGTACCCTGTTATAAGAGGAAAATATTGTTATACAATAATATGAACGAGATGACCTGTTACCTGCTGTCTTTTTTGTTTTTTAACACTAAGGTGTAGTGTGGCTAAATTTCTCTAGTTGTCTTATTAAATATTTCCACTTCCTGGACTACAGGCCTTGCGTTTAAAGTCATTATGTTTCTGGGATGGTTAGACCAGCTTAAAGGGGTGATAGACCCCCCCCCCCCAAAAAAAAGTCTTTTGACTGTCAAGCAATGTAAAAGGCTGTTAGATCAAGTTTACTTACGGCATAAGGTAAATGGTAGGTTCTGGATGAGATTTGTGGTCTTTATTAAGGGTTGTTACGGTTCTGTTCCACTGTGCTCTTAAGCATCCTGCAAGTTGTGAGGAGAGCTGGTAGAACGCAGAGGCCAGCAGCCCTTGTAAAATCCAGTGGTGGGATTGTGTGTTTCACAGGTGCCTTTATTTCTGAAAAGAAAAGGATCGTTTTATTTCCTTTCTTTTCCCCCACCCCACATCCTCTCCTTCTGTCTCTTTCCATCAGTGAAATCCTGGGGAACACTGACACAAAATGCTGTCATTCTGACTGGACTGCACCCCCAGTTTGCTTTTAGTTTAGTGTATATATTTTTTTCTTTTCTCTTTTTTCTTATATTCTTTTCCCTGCCTGTGGCTTTGGAAGTATCATTTTATCAGTATTGATCTTGACAGGGAGATCTCCTACTTGTATTTTTGGGTGTACAGATCCTGAGGAGAATGTGGGAGGTGAAGGGTACTAGGTGGGTTTCAGTATCACATCCTGGGCCTTAGTGCAGTCATGGGGCTCTCACCCTGACCCCTGTGGTACTTCAGAGGCTGACATCTAGCCTCTCAGAAGACCCAAGCAGAGGCTCCAGACCAGTGGACTGCAGGCCCATCTTTGAAGTATCCCTTTCCTTTTGCATCCTGGAACATTAGGAATTAGGAATAGGGATTAGCCGGGAGTTGGTCTTTGGGAGAAGGGGAAAACATCCTCAGTTCTGCTGCAAGATTTCTTTCTCTCAAGTGAGAGATCTCTGGAAAGCCATTGTTAACCTTTCCTGTGTTTTGTTGCAGGGGAAAAACCTTTCAAATGTGAATTTGATGGCTGCGACAGGAAGTTTGCCAATAGCAGTGATCGAAAGAAACATTCCCATGTTCACACCAGCGACAAGCCCTACTACTGCAAGATTCGAGGCTGTGACAAATCCTATACTCACCCGAGCTCTCTGAGGAAGCACATGAAGATTCACTGCAAGTCCCCACCACCTTCTCCAGGAACCCTTGGTTACTCATCAGTGGGGACTCCAGTAGGTGCCCCCTTGTCCCCTGTGCTGGATCCAGCCAGGAGCCGCTCCAGCACTCTGTCCCCTCAGGTGACCAACCTCAATGAGTGGTACGTTTGCCAGGCCAGCGGGGCCCCTAGCCACTTCCACACAACTTCCAGCAACGGAACCACCTCCGAGTCTGAAGATGAGGAAATTTATGGGAACCCTGAAGTTGTGCGAACGATACATTAGAATTTGTTATTAATAATAATGAGTGACATAATATGTGGGAGTCCTTGGACCACATCCTAACCTGAGACAATACTGAGCCTGAGACAAACCCATGACTCAGACTTGCCACCGGGTCTAATTAGCCCTATTTATTCAGTATAAAACCCTATGGTGTTTGTACATTTAGTTAATTTAATTAAGATATTTGGGCCTTTTTTTTTTTTCCTTAAAAAACAAACAACAACCAAGCTGGACTTGTACATTGCAGGGGGACAGGACTGGGGGCAAATTGTACCAAGGAAAATGAATGGAGAGATTAATGAAGATCCACACTGCCAATGCAATATATATATATATTTTTTTTTTTTTCAAAGGGGGAGAAAAAGAGCACTAAGTCAGAACTTAACACAGCAACAAGGCCCTCTGCATTTCCTGGAGTGCCTCTTGAATGCCTTTGACACCCTAATGTGGGCTGCTTTTGAGCCTCCTTGTTGGGCCCTAATTCTGCAAAGGCCTCTTGATTGTAATCCACACACTTGCTGCATTGCCAACAGATCCTGGACTGTACCTGTGTCCAAAAGTATTTGTAAAAACCCTTTAAGTTCTAATATTTGTAATTTTTATTTTCCACTCTTTTATCACTGATCCCACCTTAACACAATATTTTTATACAGGACTATTTCTTTAGTACCGTACTTATGTGATTGAAAAAAGAAAGATGCAGCAACCTTAACGTATCTCCAAATATTGTGCTACTGTGATTGTTCAAGAAGTGGAGAGGAAAAAAGCTGCTGCAATAGACAACTGTGAAACTGTGATCTTTTATAAAATAGAAGAAATTCAAGTGCTTTCTTTTTCCGCTATGGTGGTTTTCTTTAAAAAAAAAAAAAAAAAAATCTTGACATCTCAGATGCTGCCTCCTTTCTGTGTCCAAACTTCTTGTGTAATAAAGAGATTATGTTTTGAATCATAAATTCTTTGGGATGCCAACATTCACAGTCAAGTCTGAGGAGATGTAATGATGGCATCATGCCTATTTTTTTTTTGAAAGCTGTTGTTTTTAAAACAGACCAACCCCTCTTTTATATTGTTGTGTCAACCTTTTAAAAAGTCTTTTTTCAATGCCTGAAGCTGCATTTTAGTGCATCTTCCACCTGAGCACTGAGCACACCGACCTCTATTCCATTTGAAAATGACAGTGTGTGAAGTGTATGATTTACATTAAAAGAGGGGAGGGAGTTGCTATACATATTAAAATTTTTAAAAGGTTTATAGTTACCACCAAACACTGATGAATGTGTGACCTTTGCCAGAGCTGTCAAGCTAGGATAAAAAAGGTCAAGGACCTAGGACAATAACTCTTAGTCAATTTATTTTCGGTTGGTACAACACATCTCCTGTGTGAAATGTAGTCCATCAGAAACATCATACAAATATACTAAAGAGCACTAATTTATCCTCAGAGACCCTGAAGACACCCCCTCCCCAGGGTTTGTAGAAGTTTGTTCTGTGTGCTGTGAGTGGTTGATGTAGTCTTGTCATTGTTAATAACTTGTATGTGAACACTATTATTTGTACAGTTGAATTAATTTATTTTCAGACATCATCCTTTTTTTCCCCCCCTGGAAGAGTTCAAAGCACACCAAAGAATTATATTATACATTTTGGTGAAAGATTATCCATGGTTTATTTAAGAAAAAAAAGGAAAGAAAATGGAAAAATATATTTTTAAACTTACTTGAATGAACAACGTAATGTGAAAACCGAGACTCTTCCTGCATGTCTTTTTTGCATTGTGTTGATGAGATTCTATATAGTTTATAGGTATATTCTATTACTAGCACAGTGCATGGTGCTGTCACTTGGAAAGCCTTTCAATGTTGTCTTCAGATTGTTATGGTGAATATGAAACATGCAGATCCTCCTTTATAAAGAAAAAGACCATAAAGCTTGAATATAAAATAATACTACATTTTCTAAGTTTATTTGATTTTCATATTCATTTTCAAAGTCCTTTCAAATAGAAAAGGTAAGGTATGAACTTTGGGGGGATAATTTATGTATCGTAAAATTAGAACAAAATGTTCCTGATGTATAATGAGTTGTTTTATTTATACAACTTTTTCAATGGTAGTTTGCACTATTGTTTATTATGCTACAGGTTTATTTATTATGAAACAAAGGAATATGTATTTTATGTATTTTGCCATCCATAGGTTAACTCTTTGCCACAGATTTATTGGTTCCTGATACACCTAAAATAAAAAAGTGTGTACCTCCAATAGAAAGAAAGCAAGAATGATTATGAAGTAACAAATTTAATAAAGGTATTCTTCCTATGTATTGTGTGTGTTTTACCTAATGGCATAATCCTGTCATTCCCTTACAAACAGAACAGGTTGCTAATGTAGTGAACATTACATTGTCTTCTCTTGATCTCTTGATTTCTTAACCCCTCCCCAAGCAATAAAATGTTTTTACAGCTTGCTTTAACTTATAGTTTAATCTAGAGAATACAAGATATTTATGAAGACTTAAGCCCTGCAGGCTGCACTTACAGTAGCATAAATCTTGGGGGTTACTGCATTCATTTGTTAAAATTAGTAATATCTTTAGTTATTCTAATCAGTGAAAAGCTGAGTGAATTTGAGCATTTCTTTGGAACCTAGCCTCTAAAGTCAAAGGAGAAAAAGAATGAAGAAAAGATAGAGGGAGGGACTGTGAGAGGCTTCCATACACAAAGAAGGTGAAAGCAAAATCTTCAGCTGAGATGGGTATTGAATGAAATTGTGGGGTGGGCCCCATATTCCTCATAGCAGATAATGGGATCAAAGTACGATTTTATTGTAGTTTATTCTAGAAGTTGAGTGGATATAAGTAACAAGCTCAGCATTTTAGGGCAGGTGTTGAGGAGAAATTAGATTTTTTTATGGCAACAAAATATTCAAGTGGCTTAAATTAATGTATTTGGCTATTACATTAACAGGCTGGACATTTCTGTATGTTAACTAAAACTGATAAAAGGCAAAGAGTTAAAAAAAAATTGGTAGTAATGTCAATAAGGGTTTCTCTGAAAGGTTATAGTGGCTTTTAAAAGTCAGGTTTGTTAAATGTAGTAAAGGTGAAACAGGTTGCAAAGAGTTGTTTTAAGCCAGATGACAATAACCAGCACACGAAGGAGAAAAACTCATAAATGAAAGCCCCAATCAATGGGAAAACTTATAGCTCTCTAATGAAGTTTCTTGTGAAAAGAAGGGTGACACAAAGCCACCAAGACATGAATCATTCATGGGAAATATAAAAGATAAAAAGATATTTGACAATGAGCAGAACCTTGTATAGAGTGTATAAAACAAGTTTCCCCTTCTTATTTTCTGCTTTAAAACGCACAATCTCGCACTCCCAGCGTTCTCTGTCCAGTCTATAGAGTTAAAATTGACCACTGCTCGTCCTGCGCCACTTCAAAGTAATTGAGTCCAGAACGGAAGGCTTGGCGCTTGGACAATCTTCATGGTGTGTTAAGATTTCTATGGCAATTGGCAAGCAAGACGTTCCCATCTGAATATGTCTCAAAGAAAGCCACTTATTGACACTAAGTTGGCTATCATCAAAGACTTCATCTTCCCTAGGCAAAATGTGGCCCTCCCAAACACTGTTTGAATCATCTATCTTTGTTTTCCAGGCTAGGAGAATCTTCAAACGCACGATTATTAGTAATATATGTATGTATATACACACATACACACACATATGTGTATGTGTGTATATATATGTATATTTCCCTCCCCCCCCCTCCCCATTCAGAATGCTCTTTGGGAAAGCTAATGTTCCTAAAATCTAAAGTACTTAGAAAGAGCTCGAGGGTGGAAATTATATTCTCTTAAGGAGTTGGAGATGGCCACACAAGCATGATAGCACAGGGGACGGGAAAAGAGGGACTCAAACTCCTCGAAAGTCAGGCCCCGCTATCTGCAGACATCACATTTGTACTGCAGTCTCATAATTGATATGTTTCATTTTGTGGAAGCTTTGGGAGACCATTGTGGTTTATTCTATCTGTGAATGAAGGGGGACAAGAGATGCTCTCCACCAGTGTTTTTAAATCCTAGTGTGGTTAGGAAATACAACTGCGGGGGGGGGGGAGACGACAGGGAAGACAACCTGGTTTTTCAAGCCATCACCTTAAGTCAGAAGAAAGGAGAGCTGATCACAAGGCAACAATCCAGATGCTTATTCATATTTTCATCCTATCACATCCCTACCCTCTTGCCCATCCATCCGTCGTGTGCCTTCCAGGTCTGGAGGGATGGCAAAGACGATCCACAGCGAGACCGCCCTGTGATTTCCAGCACACCTTCCCTGCGTGAGCGAAACTCCCAGGAACCCCAGCCCGGCCCTCCAGGCCCGCGCACAAACACTCCCGAGCACACAGTCACACGCGACGCAAGGGCCCAGTCAGGCAGGGGGACGTTCAAAGGCATGCTCTTTGACATTCAAACTACTGCTTTTACTGCACGTCCACGCGGAGCGTCAGGATTGCTATGGCAATGGGCAGGGCCAGGGCGGTCGCTGGCAGCAGGTCCACCGCGATTCGAGACACTCTATTAAGATACAGTTGCAGTGACCTTTACTTTCATGCCAAGTTAGTCCAGTCAATCTTCACCTCATCAGAAATACACACACACACACACGCACACGCACACACACACACACATATTCACTTTAAAAAAAGATTCCCCCATAGCACCTCCTAGCTTGAGAGAAAGGAGGGAGAAAGAATGGAGAGAGAAGGAGAGAAAGCCGGGTGGGGGTGGGGGTGGGGCGGGGTGCGTGAGGTTGGAAGGATGGGAGGAGGGGCAGGGGCTCCAGAGCCCCAGTTCCTCTTCCTTCTCTCC